AAACGTCAATCTAATGACGTGTTTAATTGTTTATAGGTTAAACAAAATGGATAACCTAATTATTTGACAGATGTTGTCAATGTCCGATTCAATTATGACGTAGTTCTATTGTGAAAATTCAACTGTCAGCAGTGGTTGGTACACCTGACAGACATTAATTTCTTAATATTAGACAGAACTAATTGATTTTATCATAGATTAGTGCAAAAAAAAAGTAAATATCTATGACATTGACTAAGTTAAATTGAATTAAGTATGGTATCAAAACATTTCCAAACAACATCATCAAACACGATAGTTAACGCNNAATAAACGTCAATCTAATGACGTGTTTAATTGTCTATAGGTTAAACAAAATGGATGACAGATGTTGTCAACGTCATCAATGTCTGATTCAGATGATTCAATTATGACGTAATTCTATCAGTAGTTGGTACACCTGACAGACATTCATTTCTTAATATTACACTAATAATATTACTTAATATTAGAACTAATTGATTTTATCATAGATTAGTGCAAAAAAGTAAATATCTATGACATTGACTAAGTAAAATTGAATTAAGTATGTTATCAAAACATTTCCAAACAATATCATCAAACACGATAGTTAACGCAATAAAAATTATAATTACTTCATGAAAGTCAAATGACATTTCTCGTCCATCTATTATTCAAACTTGGAAACGATTTTAATAAACGTCAATTTAATGACGTGTTTAATTGTTTATAGGTTAAACAAAATGGATAAACTAATTATTTGACAGATGTTGTCAATGTCTGATTCAATTATGACGTAATTCTGTTGTGAAAATTCAGCTGTCAGCAGTGGTTGTTACACCTGACAGACATTAATTTCTTAATATTACACAGTACTAATTGATTTTATCATAAATTAGTGCAAAAAAAAGTAAATATCTATGACATTGACTAAGTTAAATTGAATTAAGTATGGTATTAAAACATTTCCAAACAACATCATCAAACACGATAGTTAACGCAATTATAATTATAATTACTTCATCAAAGTCAAATTATTACACAGAACTAATTGATTTTATCATAGATTAGTGCAAAAAAAAAGTAAATATCTATGACATTGACTAAGTTAAATTGAATTAAGTATGGTATCAAAACATTTCCAAACAACATCATCAAACACGA